TACGGCATGCACGACTATGAGTACACCCCCCCCCCCCCCCCCCCTCCCGCGGACACCTTCTTTGCATTTCATTCTACATGCAAAGCATATTATACGCAAAGACCATCGGCTGTCGGGGTTGTGCCTCCCTTCCTCCCTTCCTTTGACACTTTGTTGTACCACGCCCCTGCCCCCGGGCCATTCTGTGCACAGATGGACGCGCTTTTCCGTGCGCACTTCCTTGCAAAATTCGGCAAAACATAGCCCGGGCATCAACAAAACTCATGTGTTCTACTGCAGTATAGTACTGCCACCAGCAGTGCCATTGCAACTCCTGTGACTCTTGCAGTCGGAAAACAACTTGGTTCTTCACCGGGTCAAACTTCAATCAAGTCAACTGTGAAGCGAGTCTTTCACCACCGCATCGCGCTAGCCCCCCTTCAGAGAGAATGGGAGAGATGCAATTCTACACGTTTCTTTTCGCGGCTGTCTGATTCTTGCGAATCTCACACACAAGCGTCCGGTTCACGCAGACAACGTGCCTTGTATTTCCGGCCTCCGGCCTTGAAAACGCGAACGATGATGATGTTACGATCTATTCCTCACAAGCTTCGTATCCGATACATGTAAACGGAGTTGTTCGCGCCATGGGACGGCCGACGACCCACACACAATGAATATGCGAGAACAGAAGGACGGAACACATTCTTCATGTCCCCTTCAAATTAGACATTGATTCGGCGAGTTCAGAACCTCCTGCTGCACAAACGAGGAGTGCTGCTGCCACCCCTTCGTAGTCTGGGCATGCATGCCGGCTCGGGCACATGCGTCGGCCCCTACAGCAATCGTGTACGTCGGAGAGATCTATCGGCACTTTCTTGTATAGCGCAGCCAGAGGACACTATCATACTATCATTTCGTGGTGCGCCTTGCGATGCTTGGGCATGGTAGAGTCTTTGGAAAGGTATAACACGTGCTGCATTCCGGAGAGGCACTCCACCGTCCACCATACCACAGCCTTGTACCACAGCAGTGTCGCTCTGAAGCACCCATGGTAGAGGTACTTGCCTCGAACAACTTACCGGAATTCTGTGCTAGGCATACCTGTGTGCCGTTGGGATCGCTGGAATGGAGGCTTTTCCGCTGGCAGACGCAATTGGCAGATTCTCTCGCGAGCAGCAATGAGAGTACTCAGCACTACACAACTGCTGTAGCTGACTGAAGCAGCATGTACGGGTCCGACAAAGGGATGTGGCTGCTGTGCGGCGCTTCACACGCGAGGGCTCCGTGGATCATTGTTTTTCGTCATAACATATCCAAAAATCATATCACGGAGCCGCCCGCCGAAAAAGGGTGACACACCGCCTGCACCCAACAAGCGCCCCGCTCTCTCCCTCTTCTTCTCCCTACGATATCGAGGCAAGTGATTGCACGGTGCTAGAGAGGATGGTTGAAATGGAGGGCCCAGTCTTGACGTTCTGAAACACATAGCCTCAATTCAAGTTTCCCCTCCCCTTGCTCCAAGTGTAGTAGAAATTCAACAAGCCGTTTTGCACAGCAGGGCAGGAGAGCAGTCCACACCTTTGCCGTACCTGCGTACTCTTGTATATTGTAGCCCTCGGCGTGCGTCTAACCTCGCACGTACCGACAGACAGCAGTGTTAGCCAAGCCCCACCTTCCAAGTTAGCTTCAATCCCTTCCCCCATGAGAGATGGGGAAAACACTGGTGTATCGTGTGATGCAACATCTCGCCGACTCTCTCATCTGTCCTGATCACGCCCTTCACAGGACCACGTGCACAGGACAGAGAAGGTCCGCAAGGGGTCCAACCAACCAGTCTAGGACATGCGTTTCGCGTCTTTCCCGAAAGCCACCGCTCTTCTCCTAGCAGCAACGCTACTTTTCGGTGAGGTTTTCATCCGTTCGTCAGAGCTGAATGCACTGCATACCTGAAAGTAGAGGGTAACGAACATGTGTCCACTTTGAACTAAGCGGCAGAGCGGCACCTGTTCTCTCTTTGTACAAGCGGAGGGTTGGTTTGGGTTGCGGAAAAATAAATACACGCACACACGGACTACCTACCCATTCGTGATTGGTAAAATAGCACGACCCAGAGCAGCAGTTTGTACAGGAGCAGCTATGCGTATGTGCCGTCAGTGCAGCGTAATGGATACCGACAACCGCCAAGTTCCGAACACAACCAGACAGGTCTGTCTCAGTATCGACAGCACAAGTCAATCCTGTTCTTGTCTTGTTGTGCCCACCCGCTAAAGGCATCACTCGTGCTGTCTACATGGTCTTGAGTTGGAACCAACGGGCTGCAAAGCGCGTTGTTAGTAGACTTGGACGACTTCATAAGCCTCGAGGGAAGGGATTGCTGTACCCTTCTCGCGATGAAAATATCTCAGGCAGGAACTGCAGGAGGTGGTCCAGCCCCCCCTTCCCATGTGACCCCGGTTGGGTCGTCTAGCTATTTATTTAGTGGAAGTGGAGGATGGGGGCCAGGGGGGCACACGACAGAGTCAAATAATAATAATATATAAAACAAAAAATATAGCCCGCAGACAACGACACCCGTTGTCCAGCAGTAAGCGGGACGTACCTCTGGTTAGGCCGACGGTGGGGTTGTTTAGACCGCCGTCCCGAGAAATTTATTTAGGAAGTAGAACAGGGAGGGGGTACGCAGACCCTTTTCCCTAACCCTAACCCTAACCCTAACCCAACTTCCCCGATTTTATTCTTTATCCAACATGTTTCCTGAAAACACAATCCCCGCGAAGGCTACTGGCCGAGGGTGGCGTTATTTAGTTGTCTAGGGTATAAGTGACCTATTGGTTGTTGTGTAGGGGTTTTTGGCCGGACATACACGCGGTGCCCAACGTTGAGGTATTTGAGATATTTTGTTGAGCATGGAGTTTCTAACTCTGCATTCATGTGTACCAAGTTCGTCAAGTGTAAATAACGGTATGCCTTTGTATGCATTGCTTGTTCACATGTATTGCATTTGGCGGCAGCACCGATGGCGGAAGCAGGCCATGTGGGAGAGGCCGGGATGGAAAAGGCAAAGGAGGCCAGCAGCAGAGGACTTGCCGAGGAGGGAGTGACGGAGGAGGTCATGGTGGGCGAACGGCCGAGGTCACACCCACACGAGAAGGAAAAGAAGCAGCGCAAGCCGCGGATGGCGACGATGGGAGTGCAGCAGACATGGAAAGAATGCGTTGGTGAGTTATTAGGGAAACACTATTGTTGTTGTTGTTGTTGTTGTTGTTGTTGTTGTTGTTGTTGTTGTTGTTGTTGTTGTTGTTGTTGTTGTTGTTGTTGTTGTTGTTGTTGTTGTTTTCACATTACCAAAACACGTACCGGTCTCCGCTCGTTACATCCTACTATCCGTATTCCTGTGCGTTTGTCTCTTGGTTTTGTCAAGTAGCATCACCAATGAACATATATCTGTCTCGGAGAGGCTGAAAACAGAACCTGTTTCTTAAGGCCATTCGTGCGTGTGGGCGCGGCGGCGTCCCGAGGCTTTCATTCCTTCGCACATGTACATGTCGGACATGTCGGAGATAACCAGCAGGGTCAGGGCCTGCCTCACTCTACTCCCCCTTCACCGTCTTGTGTTCAGTTTTAGATAGTTACTACTTGTGTTCAGTAGACGGTTACCATGCTCCGCCGCAGCCCATGTGGTAATTGTATCTTCTCAGGCTGTTAAGCGGTTTCCAACGCTTGCGTGGGGTGTTGATGTGCCTGAGCTTTTGAGTACTGCAAGTCCACCTTTTGTATTTCGTCTGGCTCGTTTGGCCGCGATTTCTATTGTGGCAGTATACTACGTGCCGTGTCGACAGTTGTGCTTGCGACGCAGTATCCTTCGCAAGAACATTTATCTTGGTTTAAGCAGGGTTTGCGGGTGTGGGGGACAGGGTTAGGGTTTGATATAGGGTTAGGGTTAGGGTTGGGGGTGACGAAACCCCCTTCGCTATGTCTCATCGAGAAATACTAGTACCCTCGCGAAGGCGGTCGGTGCTGCTTGTGCTGGCTGCTACAGGTCGATGGACAAGTACCCCCCCCCCGTATTCCTTTGACTGCCGCGTCGCCTGGCTGAAAGTCTTACTTGTGTACAAATGCGTGCCTTTTCTGCTGTCTCGACAGGCATGGATGTGGAGGAAGCGGTGGAGATAATCAAGGCCGCACGACCGGACCTGAGGAAAATCGCCAAGGTCCCGGAAGTGAGTCACCTGAAACGGCACCTATCCCACCGCATTGCCGTCTCGTGACTGGATGGCCCGCTGTGTACTTGAATGCCGCGGAGCTGTAGTGTTTTGATCGCCTCGTTTCCTGGTGCACCGATTCCGTCGATGTGCATAGGTCACGTCTCCCGTTCCCTATGTTGATGAAGTCACATCGATGATTGCCAGCGTGTCTTGAGGAACGAGTCTTGCCTGCTGGTGGTCGTACGCCTTTGTATCTCGATGTAGAGTTCGTTTTGGAAGTTTCCGCGCTTTCATCGATATTTTTGATATGCTTGCCTTTCGTATTTCAGATTGGAAGGAAGTTAATCGGGGTGGGCGAAGGACCATTTCCTGACTTGATCGTGTTGCTCCAAAAGGGCGAAGTCGTTGCTCTACACTGTGTAAAACAATCTGTTCCCGTCGCGCTGTTTTGTGTAGCCCCTGCCTGAGTTGATCTGTCTGACACGGAGGACGTTGTCCCTGCGGTCTTGTCGTGCCTTGCCGGCATGTCGTTTTTCGGGCCTCTCCTCCCTTGTCCCACTCGTGCGTGACGCCTTTGCAGGGCGCCATGGTGACGATGGACATGCGCACGGACCGCGTGAGGATCTACTACGACAAGGACAACATCGTCACGCGCCCACCACGCGTAGGCTAACGCCGCACAGCTCAACGTGCAGGGTGTAGCCTACAACCAAAACCGAAGGAAGCTAGACCTGCTACCCACGCTACACTCTACGCGCGCTCGCGGGACGGAAAGGTGCTACCGAGCTTCGTATCACGCCATCTGCCGGCTCAATTCGGACCATTCTTCGAAGAGATGATGATAACGTCATGTTGATAATGTTATGCTTAGGACGACCGCGCCCGTTATGTTCCGTACCGTCCATCGTTGGGTCGGGGATTGGAGAGCAGTTCAGCGGTCTGCCTTTTTTGTCCATTTTTCTCTTCACCTGGTGGATGATGGAGGGTTTTTGTTGGTGTGTGTTTTGCTCCTTGCTTCCCATATGTATGACACACGGCTCTCTGACGGGAAAAATGCGCGACTCTACCCACCTACGCTGGAGTAGAGTGTACAGCAGCGCGATCCGCATGACGGCAGGTGGCGTTAGTTAAAGGTTGGGCCTTTCGATTTGGATAAGGTTGCCGTGCCACACCTCATGGCGTTGTCTGAGCGCATTGGTTCGTATGTTGTTTGCCTGGCGAGTTCGCTGTTAATGCTAGCCCCCGTCATCGTGACCTGTGGCTTCGCTTTAGGGTTCAGTTTTGGGGGCTAGATTGGACCCCGTTGTTCTCGCAGCATGTGTAGTAAGTTTCGAGCGCGCGTGCAAATCTGTGTGTGTTCGCGCGCAGCCCGCGTTTTTCATCTTGCTGTGTGAAGCTTTCGTCGAAGGTATGCGCATATGTAGACTATGCCCGACATGACGAACTATGACGTGTAGCATCGACGGAGCGGAAGCCTAAGTCTCATAGAATGTTACCAGTAGGAGTTTCGTGCGGAACAGATGGAGGGCGCTGCGGCCCAAGGGTGTTCTGTTTGTGTGGGCTGCATGCGGGTGTCTCTGTAGTGTACATGATCTGATCGTACATGTGACGTAGTGAAGTGGATGGTAGAGATTGTTATTTGTGTAGTCGGCGCGGAGATATGTGACCGATTGTGAAGCATACCGTAGATGTTGGCGCTCTCGCACGCATGTATGCGTATGGTTTTCATATATATTGCTGTATGGCTGCCCCTATTATCGTCGTGCCGTTACACTTTCTTGTGGCAAGAGGGAGCGTAATGTGTTTCTTCTGTCTAAGGACGTCCTTCCATTCTGTTAATTTCCGATGTTGGACGGAGCACTCAAGGGGGTCCATCTCCAGCAAGAAAATCGCAGATCAAACAACCGAAGTCACACCGAAAAATTCGAAAATAGATCCAAGAGGCAGCAATGGGCCACTACAAACATCAGTAGGCCGCATACCGTAGGTGACATGAGATTCAACACCCCCTTGACCGATTTTCAAAGCTCGATTACTCCACCATCAAGAGGATGTTAGTATCTAAAATTATTCGTTGTCGGAAAGGTTTCGACGAGGCGGTTCCAATGCCGCCATGTTGTGCACCCTCACGATTTTTGGTGCAAGAGTAATCAAGGTTCGAGAGCCGGTCCAGGCGGTGTGGAACCTAAGCGAGCTTAAGTGTTTTCAGATTACAGTGTAGACGAAGGGATGGATTTGGTCGAAGGGGAATACCCGGCACCCGGTCTATGTTTGTTGAATCAGATTATTCCATCTGCTGTGCGATACGATTTCACCGGCCTAACGGCCACAGTTCGGTGCAGCGTTATACACAGCAGACAGATAGAGAGATATAGGCCTGTCCTCCATCGGCCGTTTTATTTTCGATTTAAATACACAAACTTTATTTCTATACTAATTTCAAGTAATTCCACCTTCTTATTCTCCGTCATACAAGCAAAACGGCCGATGTTCCTCCTGGGCGTTCGGGGGGTGATCTTTTTCTTGGAACTCGCGTCGCCCCTTTTTTCTCGTCCTCGAAACTCGAACAAAACAAAACCAGGAAGGCCAACACAGAGCAGCCACCCGGTTCAAAAGGGCAGTCGTGCAACTCACCAGCCGAGGACACAGCAGTGGACTAGTGCTAACCTACTCCAGATATCCGCCGGCTGACCTGGTTGTTGGGAGTCGTCGAGTCTTTCGATTTTCCAGTGTAGACTGCAGCGTCCGGCAACATCGATAGGGCCGGTCAGCATCGTTTCACGAGGCAAAGGCTGGTGGAGGAGGAGGGGAGGTCCACGCACAGCACTGCTCGGGGATCTCAAACGCCTCTAGGGAAGCAAAGGCAAGTCGTGTTTGTCGACGAAGGTCGTTGTTTATTCCTGTGTAAAAAAAAGCATATTCTAACCCCACCGAGGTGTGCTGCTGCTGTCGGCGACACAAATTTCATTTAAAACATCTGTCTGCCCTTTACATAAATAGTATCTCTGCAAATGAAAGCGGACAGATTTCAAACGATACACCCCACACCGCGTGCAGTAGCTTCGAACTACTTGTCCGCTGTAGTGGACATGAGTTCCCTTGCTGTACACCGTTGAAGCTGTACATGGGCATCTTGATACCCTCAAAGCTTTCATTTCTGTCGGGCTTTTTTTTTGTCTTCTCCGTTGACACAGCGCAGTCATATCTACCATGAAAGGTAAACTACGCGGAGGTGCAGCAAGCCCGTGCTGGACGTTACTTTGGGCACTGGGTAGTTGGCCGTATTAGGCCGAGAGAGAGAGATTGAGGTGTCGTTGGAGTAAACGTTGGAGTAAACGTTGGAGTGAACGTTGGAGAAAGCGTTGGAGAAGGAAACTTGATTGGAGAGAGCGACAGCGGTAGCGGTGGAGAGAGAGGAAGTGTGCTGCACGCACGCACGCCTCATCGCACCAACCACCCGTGACTTCACGGTTGGTACCCCACAACACACGAAATTCCCAACACGTATCCCCCTGGGATCCTGACGACCAGATATTGCTGCGAGTGTATCTAACATCCGCCCTGCTCGCAACAGTTTCTCACTGAAAACTTCGCTAGCACCTGATATCTCAACCAAAGACGTCTTTTCCAGAATATGGGCCATCAAGACTTCAAAAATATCAGAGAGAAAAACAAATCAAAGAAACATATACGCTGTATCGCGCGTAACGAACACTTGGCGCGGAAAATAAAACAAAACCAAAAGAACTCATCACAGAAACAATCAACAGTCATGCCAAATTCATATCAAAATCACGGTGAGACTCAAAAGCATCCTTCGATAAACTCTTTGTAAAATTATCTGCACGCTGGTACGGCGACGGCACGTGGATCGCCGAAATTTCCTTCCTCTTTACCAGCTTTCTGAGAAAATGGTGCGTTACATCTGTGTGCTTCGAGTTCGAGTTCGAGTTCGAGTTGGGGTTCTGCGCTAGTTGAATCGCCCCCTGGTTGTCCTCGAAGATTGGAATGCACGGCATGCCAACCTGTGGCAACATGAAACGCCAAACCTGCCTCAAAAACAAACCTCCTTCACTACATCACCAAGCGCGACGTACCCTGCTTCTGTCGCCGAAAGCGCAACGCACTTTTGCGTTCTGGAAAACCAAGACACGGCACCTCCTCCACACGTCACGATCCTCCCTGATACCGACCTACGGTCTGCTGCCTTGCTTGCAAAGTCGGCATCAGCGTACCCCTGCAAGCTGAATCCCTCTACACTACCTCTCTGAAATGACACACCGAAGTGACTCGTCCTCCTCGCATACCCTGAAATACTATCGCTGCATCCCAGTGGACCTGCTTCGGAGATGCGCAATACCTGGCTACTGCCCTTACTGTATTCGCAATGTCTGGTCTAATCTGTGACGCCAGCCACATCAAAGATCCGACTCGCTCACGAAACGGCAGGTCTGTCTCTACCTCATCCGCATCAAAATCAGAAAGCTTCACCCCCGAAGACATCGGAACGCTCTTACCCCCGACTACTCCATACTCTGCTGCTAGCTCATCCGTGAAGGTCTGCTGAGAAATCGTCAACCTACCAGTCTCCTTGTTCCTCTCGTAAAAGCACCCAGAATACCATCTCAACTCTCCCAGGTTCTTCACCGGCACAGACTTAATAAGGTCAACGCCAAACTTGTCACATCTCTCCCTCTCTCCCACAGCATAAATATCATCTACATGTACTACAANGACTACTCCATACTCTGCTGCTAGCTCATCCGTGAAGGTCTGCTGAGAAATCGTCAACCTACCAGTCTCCTTGTTCCTCTCGTAAAAGCACCCAGAATACCATCTCAACTCTCCCAGGTTCTTCACCGGCACAGACTTAATAAGGTCAACGCCAAACTTGTCACATCTCTCCCTCTCTCCCACAGCATAAATATCATCTACATGTACTACAAAGATCAAAACAACACACCCATCCTCAATCAATCGAAATACACAAGCATCGGCCAAACACTGCCCAAATCCCAACGCTACCAAACACCTCTTCAGCATTGCATGCCACTGGCTAGATGCCTGCCTCAAGCCATTCAGACTCTTGCCTAAAATTGCAATAATTCCAGATAGAGCTCCACATCCCTGCGCTAGGCGCATGTACTGCTAGCTCATTCGTGAAAGTCTGCTGAGAAATCGTCAACCTACCAGTCTCCTTGATCCTCTCGTAAAAGCACCCAGAATACCATCTCAACTCTCCCAGGTTCTTCACCGGCACAGACTTAATAAGGTCAACGCCAAACTTGTCACATCTCTCCCTCTCTCCCACAGCATAAATATCATCTACATGTACTACAAAGATCAAAACAACACACCCATCCTCAATCAATCGAAATACACAAGCATCGGCCAAACACTGCCCAAATCCCAACGCTACCAAACACCTCTTCAGCATTGCATGCCACTGGCTAGATGCCTGCCTCAAGCCATTCAGACTCTTGCCTAAAATTGCAATAATTCCAGATAGAGCTCCACATCCCTGCGCTAGGAGCATGTACACGTCTTCCTCCAACTCCGAACGCACAAGAGCTTGCTCANCAAGCCATTCAGACTCTTGCCTAAAATTGCAATAATTCCAGATAGAGCTCCACATCCCTGCGCTAGGCGCATGTACTGCTAGCTCATTCGTGAAAGTCTGCTGAGAAATCGTCAACCTACCAGTCTCCTTGATCCTCTCGTAAAAGCACCCAGAATACCATCTCAACTCTCCCAGGTTCTTGACCGGCACAGACTTGTTAAGGTCAACGCCAAACTTGTTACATCTCTCCCTCTCTCCCACAGCATAAATATCATCTACATGTACTACCAAGATCAAAACAACACACCCATCCTCAATCAATCGAAATACACAAGCATCGGCCAAACACTGCCCAAATCCCAACGCTACCAAACACCTCTTCAGCATTGCATGCCACTGGCTAGATGCCTGCCTCAAGCCATTCAGACTCTTGCCTAAAATTGCAATAATTCCAGATAGAGCTCCACATCCCTGCGCTAGGAGCATGTACACGTCTTCCTCCAACTCCGAACGCACAAGAGCTTGCTCAAGATCGAAATGACACAGGTCGAGGTTCAAGTCGCACGCCAAAGCAGCCAACATCCTAAAACACGAAACAGAAACGGTAGGCGCGTACAATTCTCCAAAGTCAATGTGTTCTCTCTGCATATCACCTCTCGCTGCAAGTCTCGACTTAACCTTAGTGGGCCATCCAAACTCATCTGCCTTCCAATCGAATACCCACTTGGCGTTGATTGTATTCTCCACTCATTGCTACTTTGCCGGAGTAAAGTCCCCGCTTCCAACAAGCCGTAAAACTCCCTTTGCATGGAGTCGGTCCAGAGGTGTCGGTGCTCCGACGCCATGGTCTCGTTGTAGCTCTTTGGAACACGAAGCTCGTTAGCCTGGCAGTGCGGAAGGTCAGGGCGTTGCTCCGGCGGACGCTGGTCTTGCAGCATGGCGTCAATGTCTTCCCGGTTGGCGAGGAGCGTGGCAAATGCAAGTGGAAAGCTAGCTATTCCAGCCCCCGGGTCCACCGCTACGAGTGCTCCTGCCTGCTCTCCGGCCCCCGCTCCCCCCGGCTCCCTGCGCTCCTCGTCCACCGCGCCCCGAGTCTCCAGCATCGACACCAGAGTGTTCTTGTCTAGCATCGAGATGAGTCCTGTGCTGTACCTGGTCCCCGATCTTGTCGGCTAGGCAGCCGCGGGTCTGTCAAACCCTCGGCCTTGGAAGGCGTTGAAGCGGGCGCGGGAGCTGGAGCGGGCGACGGCGTGGGCGCTGGCTGCGGCGGTGCGGCGGTCGAAGGCGTCGGGGCTGGGCCAAAGTTGATCGAGACGACCGGCGACGGCGTGAACGGGGGGGGCGTCGGCGGTCCACTTCGCCGATTCCATCCAAAGACGGTCACCGCCCTGGTCGAGGCCGAGGATAGAGGCGAAGTCGACGTTGAACACACGGCCAGCGCTGCGGCGGGCGGCCATGCCAGCCTTCGTAATCCGCCAGATGGCGCTCTTGACGAGGCCGTTGTACTTCGGAGTGCCAGGCGGGGTGAACTCGACGCCGATGCCGTCGTCGTCGCAGAAGCGCCGGAAGTCGCCACGGGTCCACTCGGTGCCGTTGTCGACGCGGAAACACACGATGCGCCCGAGGTCGTACCGCCCCACGTCCGCCAGCAGCCTTTTCGTTGCCGCCAGCGCGTCGGACTTCCGCCGGAGACCGTAGACCTCGGTCCACCGCGAGGCGCTGTCAACGGCGACGAACAGGTCGAGGTTGTCGCCCAGGAAAGGCACCAGCGGTCCACACAGGTCCAGGTGAACACGCCCGAGTGGCTTGGACGCCCGCGCTCCCGGCCCCCGTGGCACCGACCCTCGCTTGCCCTTCGCCTTCATGCAGTCCGTGCACTATTCCTGTTCGCTCGTGAGAGTGATGCCCCTCTGCCGAGGAGTTTTTCTCAAGAGCGGTTCACAAGCGTGTGCGAGGGAGCGGTGGAAGCGGTTGATGTCCACGGACTTATCGGTTGAGCCAAGAGCAACGGGAGACGCACCAGGTCCAAGCGCGGCAGCACTCAAGTCAAAATCAGCACCCCCATCAATACCATCCAAGACAGCAGGCACATGCGCAGCATCAGTCTCTGGAATGAACACGGGGAAAAACGCTTGATACGGGGTGTCATAATAGCCATCCATGAGCTGCTCATCGGTGAGCACACCCGTATCTCCAAGATCCATACCCGGAAAAGTACCCACACACACAAACTCGGACTCCGAAGAAGGTACTGCGTCGGCAGAGCCCGCGGGCGGGACGCCCTCATTCTCAGGTACTATACTGGTGGGATGAGTGGGCGTCACGCTATCAGCCGAAGGTACTACGCTGGTGGGACCAGCGGGCTTGTCGCTGGTACTCGAAGGTACTACGCTAGCAGCGCCAGTGGGAGGAACACGCAACACGGACACCAATGATTTCGCGGAGCCCCCGCTGGGGAAGGGGAACACGATGCACCATTGGCGGGGGCGGAATCGGGGGCATTCACGAATGCGGGCAAAGCAGCCTAGTCTCTACGATCGCAGATGGGTCGTAAGGCAATCGGATCGCATAAGCGGCAGACGCTTTCTCCTCTCTAGCAAACAGCAGTCCATTTTGTCAAGTCGCACCACGCTCTTCTTGAAGGATTTTTGCGTGAGGGAAACAGCATGCCATTCTCAAACGACGATGCGTGTGAAGCTGACAGACGTATCTGAAGTGGAAAGCCTGAATTTCAACCTGTTCTCCACGCATGCTGTTTCCCTCGAATCCTTCAAGACGAGCGTGGTACGACTTGACACAATGGACTGCTGTTTGCTCGAGAGGAGAAAGCGTCTGCCGCTTATGTGATGCGATTGCCTTACGACCCATCTGCGATCGTTGTAGACTCTGCTGCTTTGCCCGCATTCGTGAATCCCCGCGATTCCGCCCCCGCCGATGGTGCATCGTGTCCCCCTTCCCCCAGCGGGGGCTCCGCGAAATCATTGGTGTTCGTGTTGCGGGTTGATGCTACCGATAGCTTGCACTTCGAGCAGTCGACCATCACCTATGACGGCATACTTCCTACTGGCGGGGATCTCCTGCAGGTCGTACATGTGTAGGCTACTGTTTGTAAAACTGTTGCTTGCACCTGAGTCAGCTACCCATCTCTCGCTATCAGGCGGCCCCTCACTAGATTCCACACTCAGCAAAGACGAAGCAAACGCAGCAGACTCTACTCTAATCGTCGCTCCTATCCTACCAAAAAAGTCTCCGGGGTGAGACTTGCCTAGAGGCACCGATTGTGCCGTGCAGAGGTGGAGGTAGCCCGAAGATGAAGGCGCGCCGGGAGAAGGGGTAGAGGACGAGGAGGAAGCGGTGCTGCTGCTGCTCGCGGGGGGGGGCCTGACGTGGCTGCTCGGATGACGAATCTTCGCCGGCGGGAGGGTAGTAGACGTAGTGGATGCCGCCGTCAGATGAGCGGCTGTCTTCGTACCCGGAGGAGTAGCTGTAGCTGTCCCCACCGCCGGCGTAGTGGGCGCACCGGCGTCGTGGTAGCCGTCGTCGTAGTAGTAGCCACCATCACCGTGGGCGTAGTACACAACGTACGCCTGCTCTCTTCCTTGGCCAGAACGCGCGTGCCCCGGGCCTCTCCCTGCCCGCTCTCTCTCGACACGACCGTCGCTGCTGTGGCGTCCCGCGCGCCCACGAACCCCCGGGTGACGACCCAGACGACCACCAGGCCGACGTCCAAGAAGAGGTCGCGGGGGGGGTAAGGCTGGGCTCCGGCCACCGCCACCATGACCGGTGTGGTGCTGCTGCCCTTCAATCCTCACCCATCGCCCGCCACCGCGGCCTGGCCCCGGCGGCGGTCTACCCCCTTGCTGGCTACCGCCGTTACCGAGGCTGCCGCCGCCCGAGCGGTGTTCCTCGGTGCCTTCTCGCGAATGCGCGCGCCGTAGTTGCTGCTGGAAACGATATTGCTCGTTGGTGTGAAGCTCGGACTGGTGGTAGCGGCAAAAATCATTGGGGTCGTCGTAGAACACGTCACCCTTATTCTTCTGTCCGTCTCGGTATTCACGATCTTGGCCGCCAGCTGCTGCGTGACCGCCGTTTTGATCCCCGGATGCCCCCCCACTGCCCCCGCCGCGCCGTCCCACGCGGGACGAGGCGAGAGCGAGCTCCACCTCGCGTCTCTCGCCCTTGCTCCTCTCGCGCTCCATCTCCACGTGGGCGTCCCTCACCACAGTCTCAAGGGTACGTAACGTCAGGACATGATGGGCAAGCAGTATTTCTTTTTGCACGACGAACAACGAGGAGGGAAGGCCACGAGCAATGTCTTTGTTGGCATCTGTTTCATCCTGAATCGTGCCTACAGATGCTAGACGCAGGCGAAAGGCTTCTGCCCGGGCAATATAGTCCTGTGGACTCTCGGACTCTTTCATCTCCAACTCCTTCCAGTCCTGCTCCCACCTCGACTTTTCTGACTGCTTCTTCTCCTGATAGAACTCTGTCACAATTCTCCAGCCTTTTTGTGGACTCTCACACGCCAAAATCAAACTCTGAATCGGGGGGTACAAGACCTTGCTGATGAGAACATTCCATAGTTTGAAAGACATGTCTACCACATCATCGCCAAAAAGTCTCCGAAGCTCTGCTATATTCACACCCTTCTTCCCAACCTTGACCTCGACCTTCAGTTCCAACGCATCATGCACTGCTTCCTCCTGAAAATATGAAATCATCTCACCACGAAAAATATCAAACATAATGTACAAGTCCTGCTCCTTCTTCACGCTACCAAGCCAAGGTTCTATTTCTGAGCCAGGATTATCACGTAATGTGCCTGAGCGGGCAAAGCCCTGTTGTTCGGCGATGGCCTCAGATGTCGCCTTGGCCGCTTGCGCCACGATGTGTGCGACGCTGCTGGGGTCGTTGAATGTAGCTGTTTTACTCTGGCTGGAGGTGATGGCTGGCTGCCGGTAGGTGGGACTGGGTTGCTGGCTGGTGGTTGGGTAGCGGTGACTTCACCGTCGTTGATCCTGTTGGCTTCGAGTTTGGCTTGCACTCGTTACTGTACTTTCTCCTCCACTTTTTGTTGTAGCTCCTCCCCGCTGAGGGCGGAGAGGTCGATGCCTCTGTTGTTGTGGGAGTCTACCGATTGCGCGTGACTGCACAACCCCCGGAAGACTACGCCCGCGCGCAGATACCGTGATATCGCACTAGTGTGAAAGGTAAACTACGCGGAGGTGCAGCAAGCCCGCGTGCTGGGCGTTACTTGGGGCACTGGGTAGTCGGCCGTGTCAGGCCGAGAGATATATTGAGGTGGCGTTGGAGTAAGCGTTGGAGAAGGAAACGTGATTGGAAAGAGCAACGGCGGTAGCAGTGGAGAGAGAGGAAGTACGCTGCAGGTACGCAAGTCTCATAGCACCAACTACCCCAAAAGGGTCCCAGTGACGGCACCGGTGGTACCCCACAACACACGAAGATCCCAGCACGTATCCCCTCGGGATCCTGACGACCAGATACTGCTGCGAGTATATCAAACATACCACGCTCCACCCTCCCAAAGAGCAACATGTCGACATGTCCACAGAAGGTGACATACTCACCTCCATGTCACCGACCTACCTGCCTTTCACGGCTGCTGCGCAAGAAAGCCTTCCCCACCCCAGCTATGCTTGAATCGCTGATTACCCTCGCGCGCATCGACATTGAGGCGCCCGTCCGCGTGCGCCAGGAGGGCACGCGGGGCGGCCGGCTCAGTCGTCGCAACATGTGCGAGTGCGAGGAAAATCAGCTGAATATTAAGCATACAGTGCTGCAGCTGGGGCGGCGTAGGCCTTCTTGCGCAGCATTTGTGCAAGGCGGGTAAGACGGCGACAATGGACGTGTTTGTTGTCGTGCCGTGGACACAGCAGTCATACCTACACCATCACTCTCCCGCAGAGCAAAAACGGATGTACAGCCGTGGCGTCTTCGGGGGCACCTCGATGTCACCGACCTACAGTAAACAGCGGCTTCACAAGAGAAGCCTCCCCCACCCCAGCTATACGGGATGCTTACATCGCTGATTACCCTCGCGGGAATCGACATATTCGAGCCTCGAAGTTCGGTTCCCTGTGTCGTGCGCGCCAGGATTGTCAGCGATTCAAGCGTGGCTGGAGCGGGGTAGGCTTCCTTGCGCAGCAGACGTGTACTTGAGGTTGGTGATAACGTGATCGCGAGGTGCCCACGCAGACGCCACCGCGCGCAATTCCTTGTCGCTTCTTCCTCCAACGTGCGTTGAAAATTCTATTCGAGTGGTCTTCGGCCTGGAACCAAGTGGCCACACCGCTATGTAGTTTTGCTGGTTGGCGTATCGGTTGCTGGCGGCCGATCGGGAGGTGGAACGATACTGGTTAGTATCATTACGAGCAACATCTCCATGATTGTGGCCACCGCATTTGTGTGAGTGGGGCTGACACCGTCACAAGCATTATGGGTGTCGTTGACAATTGCATCTTGGGGTCCTGCGAGGGTCAAAACTCATCGAAGCAAGTGCAGACATAATGCATACTCATGCGTCGAGTTATGTGCATAAGTAGGAACGGCGGCTTCCAGCGAGGGTTCGGGGATGATAAGAGGGGGAGCCGTTGGCTGCGATATGCCTGCTAGTATTGTTGGAGCCATCAACCTCACGTTCCACTCTTGGGAAGGTTGCGAGGATACTGCACCAACTGAGCTACGTTGACTACCTACCTGATCTAGAGCCAGACGCTGATGCACTCTGCAGTTCCCGCGCCTTAGTTTCGATGGCCATGATGCCATGATGCCCAACCCTCTCGCGAGACGAGCGTGTGCGAGCACCGAATTCACCGCACTGCGTCCATCTTATTCGACCACCGGCCGTTCAATGGCTGAACTGTTTTCCCCTTGTTTGCATACGACTGCCCTTGCTTATGTGCATGAAGCAGTAGCCGCAACAGCAGCAGCAGTTGCTCCCCAGGGCCGGGATGGCGGCAGAAACGAAGGGGCAAGAGCCTCAAGATGTGGTGATGGGCGAGTCGGGCAAGGGACCGGAGCCTGGGATAGGACAGGTGAGGAAGGACTACGAGGGATCTCCTAAAGTATCTCCTAAAAGATCTCCGACACCTCGCGTTCTTCACGATGGATGTCTCTAACTAGGAAAAGCTTTCCTGTGTTTGAACCTGACTGTGTACAAAATGAGCACAAACCGCACCGGCCACAACCTTCTTTGAGGACAGCACCACGGTAGTCGTGGGTATAGAGCAGCAGAAATGCCTCATCAACGAGAGAAAGGCGCGGAATGGTTGGGCTTCGCCCTCGGCCTATGTAGCACATGACCTGCGCACACACGCGCTGCCAACTAGGCCAACACAAAACCACGTAGAGCGCCGCTCGTTCGGCGATAGATGGATATACCTCTGTGGGCCTAACGCCCGTTTTTCATGATTGCAGCGTGGTTCTTTTTTGCCGCAATCATAGCTTCTTGTGACTGCTGGTGTAATCGGAACAATCGTGGATCGTCGAAGGTGGCTCCTCGGTTTGAGATCAAGAAGTGGAACGCGGTGGCCATGTGGTCGTGGGACATTTGCGCCGACACGTGCGCCATCTGCCGCAACAGCCTCAACGAGCCCAGCATTGAGTACCAGGTGATGTACCTCATACTAGACCTTCCTCTCTCTGTCCGACTCTGTTAAAATATCGGGAGTAAAGATTCACTTGGAAATGTTTTTTCGTTGCGGCGGTCAGGGTCGTACGAACCAGTGGTCATGTCAAGGATCTTGGGCGTCAAACTCAGACCCTGGCACTCCGCTAAAGCGGAGACTCCCGGACCCTGATCCATTCCTGTTGTCGTTCTCTTGTGCTACGCATACGCACGGTTACCGCAAACAGGCGAACCCATCGCCAAACAACGAGAACGGGCTATCGATCGCGTTCGGCTGCTGCGGTCACGTGTTCCACCTCGACTGCATCCAGCGATGGCTCAAGACCCGCTCCGTGTGCCCCCTGTGCAACAAGGTGCGCCGCAAGTCTTGAAGCATTTCGCCGGCGTATGAGTCCCCACTTCGTTCCTCCCACAGCCTGGTTGTACGGTAGTTGGTCGCTTTGCGTGCTTGGTGTTGTGTGGCCTAGCGGTGTCGGCCTGTATCTAGGATCGGGCTGCCTTGGTGATGGACGTTGCTCTTCATCTGTAGCTTTGCCATGCAGCGTCTGCTCAGGGTGAACGAAGGCGCTTGGGAGCGTTGATACGCGCGTCTACAAGTCTTCCTTCCCCTTGCTCACCGCACGAAGGGCATCCACTCTTCGAAGCTCTACTCGCAAGGTACCGTTTGGCTTGTTTCTAGGACAGCGCTTACATACAAGCTCAGTTGATCCTACACCGCATCACAGCAGTCATCATCGAAAAAGCAAATAACCGCCGGTTTTCTGCGTCTTGACTCTTGCGTTGACACCCCTTTACCTTTTTCGGCTACTGGTGCCTCCCGCCGTCTTTGCCGCTCGCTTACCACGTCGCAGGAGTGGGAATTCGCGAAGATCGAACGCATCCCCGGTTACGGAAGCCTAGCATCCTGAGTCAGCACAAGGGGGTGGTGCATGTCTTCATGCCGTTTCAAGCCAACACGAAATGTAGATGTACGCGTGTCTTCATGCCGTTTCAAGCCGACACGAAATGTAGATGTACACGTGTCTTCATGCCGTTTCAAGCCGACACGAAATGTAGATGTCACGTTGGGCATGGACCCGTTACTGGCTACGCACTGCAGAAGCAGCGGTAGGGCTGGGGCTAGAGTTTACCTTGTGTTTGTCATTGGCGGCGCCCTGCTTCTGCAGGAAAGTGGGAGGTGCGCGTGTCTTCGGGGTTGATGTGACCTCGCTCCTCCGAACGGGATTGGCATGGAATCGAACGTTGCGGCGACTGTGTCGCAGAGAGATCAAGAGAGTAGTCGCGCCCGCCCCGCATGCTGGGATGGTGCAGTAGACAGCAGTGTGTATTTGCTGGTGTACGTTTCTTCAGTCCATGAGAGCCAGAACACAACTTCGATTCTTGCGATCTTCGATTTGGAGATCCGGACGTTGTCCTTCCACGCGCCTTGGTATGCTAGCGATACCTGATGGTGTCGGGCTTGCTTGTGCTGCAGCTGAACGGTGACTGTCGCCAGGGCAGAGGTGGCTCCTGAACACGATTTCAATTGCTGTTGATATTACTGTTTGCTCAGTACTTTCTGCACAGCCAGGAGCACAAAACGCCAGTCGCCGGTCCTCTACTCCCCAGAGGTACACCGGAAACAGTTTTCGTATGTTTTCGTGTGGCCTAGCCGGTGCTCAGCCACGGCACGCGCCACGTAGCATAAAAAGTACAGTTTTGGCACGGCTGTCGAGGAGAAGCATCGACATGCATTTGTTCAGAGCGGGCTGTTCGGAGCTCTTGTTGCTGCCTCCCCGAGACTCCATTTGACCCGACGATACATGTAGTGTTTGGTTGGCGCTCTGCCCCAGACCGTTGTAGTTCCGCAAAATGGCAAGCACCTGCAAGGTTTGCTTTGGGAACTGGCAATGAGTGTCAAAAGGCGAGCATAAATATTCGTAGACCGTAACCTGCCATGGGGGCAATTCTTCCGCCACGTTAGGCGCGTTCAATCGATCATGTACTGTAGTATATAGAAGTACATACTTTTTGTCAGTTTTTTTTTTTCTCCAATCACTGCCGTCTGCCCCTCTGGCCCCTATCCTCGACTTCTACTAGCTAGACGACTCGACCGAGAGTACATGTGCCGCTGGTCCAAGTCTGCTGGCAAACACCGACAGAAAACTACACGGAAGCGCCCAGGAACACCAATGGAAGCTCACCACGGTGCGTGTCGCAAGGGCTGAAACACGGCGTAGTGTGTCGTGTGCATCCGTCCATCGCTGACGTGGTGGCTTGCGTGTCAAATGGTCGTGCCAACTCATTTCCACCATTCCGGACACAGGACACCTGACACGGTGGCATGTGGAACAGTTGATCAACGACATTCACAGCCTACGGCCCGCGGGGCAACAACGACGGTTGCAGGAGCACCTTTCTTTCTCGAGAGTTAGGAGCTACTGCTGTAATGTAGTTAGGTATCCACCATTCACCCCACAGCTGTTCACTCTCGAGAGTTCGGGTCAAGAAAGAGCAGGGGGTGGGGTAGTGCCTATGTATTTGGACTACAGCAGTAGAGCAGGTCCGATCCTGGCTCCAAACTGCACCAGGGCGGGTGTTCCTCGTGCTCTGTTCCAGTGTTGGGATGATTCATACTACGGCGGTAGCCTGCGCTGCGGGAAAGGGTGCAGTAGTCTATATTAGTCTAGTCTTTGAAATAATGATGGAATATGTAGAAGGCCACTCAACGCGCATCTTGTACCTTGTACCTTGTACCTTGTACCACAAAACCACTCAAGCACAGATTGGACACCTTGGCCCTCTGAAGCCTTACCTAGGGGACTGTGAGAATAATTTGTCCTGCTCAAGTGTCCCAAGAAGTTTCCAAGATTTCGCGTTGCACAGAGAACGACCCCAGAGCACCATGCGTTGCCAACAGCTTCTTTCTGAGAACGCTCCTGCCGGCACAATGCGATTTGATTCAACTCGGGCTGCACCTTGCCCCGAGGTCCCCAACACCCACCCGGGATCACTCTCCCCCCTAATCCCCGCCGAGCCCTCTCTGGGTACAGCACACCGGTGGCGTTCTTGAGCGGCGTGTGCCTCTAAGGCCTTGTTTGGATTGTTGTGGAATCCAGGTGGAACGCGCAGCCTCACTCGATCGCAGTGGCACAAGTGCCAAGCACCGCGACAGAGTATCAGATCGTGGATACTTGTGACCTCATCACCCTGTGCTGCGTGCAAGAGTGCGGGGAGTCTTATTCATCGCCCTTTCTGCCGTTTCATCAGGCCGCTCCACAGTTCTCACGTGCTGCTTCTCTGTGGGGAGAGGGCTCGCCGTTCTCCGTTGGCGACCTGCAGCTACCGACCGGTGGCGCTGTATTACACCATCGTTCTGCGTTCGCTCGACACTCGCAACTCGCGTCTCGGCTACACCACACCGGTTCCAGGTGAGATTGGGTTTCTTTCGCTAATTGGCCCCGTGCCACAACACTGGGTTTGGCCGTTCTTCGTGCGTCGAGCAGCAGTTGGTCCAATCTCTACCTCCTCACTTGGGCAGGAAACTGGCCCGCTCTCTTCGTCTCTTTTCATCATGCATCAGCGGTGCTGCACGACTGAAAAAAAAAAATGGCGGAGGAACAAAAATTATCGTTTTACACAGAAGAGCAGCGCGACCGGCGTACATCAACCCAAGGCTAAAGGTTTATTGCAGTAGACAATTCCAGTAGCTATCTAGCGAACCAAGATTTGCCAAATTCCGTCCACTGTAGGCTTCAAACTTGTCGGCGCAACACGCAGCCCCTCCCCCCAAAAAATGTGAGACTCGTATCTAGACTACGCGGCGCAACCACCCTGCTGTGCACCCGCCAAAGCGAACAAGCACAAGAACGCGCCCACTACGGCATCAATCGCCACCAACGTTTGAGGGAAGATGGGCTGAGCACCATAGAGTATATTGCAGAAGGGACTAACTTGATTGGTGGCGGGAATCAAGAGGTAGACACAGATGAAGTTGAAAACTTCATTAACATACAGGCACCGTGCTTATTTTCTGCCGCGCCGCCGGCAACACCGAGCATTGATAATGTTAGCTGCTGATCTTGCGGTGGTACAGCACTTGGAATTGTGCTGCAAGACGTACTACACGTGGAGTACTCTTGAATGGCGTCAGCTAGATTTGAACTGAAAGTGCTTTTGGGGTGCCCCCCTCTCCTGCTGCGGTGTTGCACCGCACACACTTTTGACTTGTGCCTGTTGACTCGGGGCCCTCACCCAGCAGTACAACTCTCCGGAATACCGCAGAAAAAAACTATGAGAGGATGGAGTAGCGACAGTATCACGGCAGCTACACTAACAGGGAACTTGATCACTGATAACCTTGTCCTATCTGACGTCGCAAGCAGACAGGCACGGCCGGCAATATGTAGTCTAGTCTACACATTATAATTGTTGAAGTATTTTTTCTCGAAGCATACGAATACATTGTACGCGCTGAGCATTTGGTGTGTCGAAAACGCGAGGAAATACTTACACACGAACACCGTACACAAGACTGCCCCCCCCGGGTTGCCCATACCCATCGACATCATGCCCGAACTGAAGGAAGCAACAAACACCGTATTTACAGTCAGTACAAACGACACAGGCAGGCCCGGAACGCACACAGCACCCCCGTACCTTTCAGGCAGTTTGCGACTAACAAAATACTATGCCAATAACCAACGGACACCCAACGTCCAAGCCGATCCGAGCAAACGTGTCAGGGCCGAGTGAGACGGAGAATAGCTCGGATACGACCCTCATATCATTGCGCGAATAACGCGACACCTCCGTCAGATGATCTACCTCGAGGAACTGGTACATGTCTTTGCCGGTGATGAACGAAATGGGGGCGATACGGCGAAGGCCTTCAAGCCTTAGCCTGAAGTTCCCCGTACGCAGGGCAGTTCGGAAGGCGATGTACGTAGGGTAGTCGTGGAGGAGGAACTGCTTCCACACAGCGAAAGTCTTGTGAGACTCCGCCCGTGCCACTCTCCACCGAACCACCCCATCGACCACCTTGACCCCTTCCCGGTCTGTCACCTGGCGTCGGCAAACTCTTCAAGTATTCCTGTCGACACAGAGCCATAAACGCCGCCCAAAACGCCGCCCAAAACGCCGTTATGTGGTGGTGGGCCCGACGGTAGTTGCTCCCCTCCCCCGACTTCGACCCGTCTGTGCCCAAATCCTTCGCCACTAATTCCACACCAGCACCCCAGTACCGCCTAAGCATCGCCTTGGCCATGTGCAACAGCAAATGCCAATCGCCGGGGTAGCGACGGACTTGTCGGTACTCGCGCGGCTCCTGTGCCATGACGTGGTACATGTGCTTGTCTGTCTCCTCGTCCCCACCGATTATGAATGGTGCACCAGTCTTACCGGCTAGGGACCCACACCAGATACATTTTACGCGCCGGATGGCTCCCTTCATATCGCTGAAACGCTTTATGGAACCCTTCTGGATGAACGCGTATCGCAGTTGCTGCGGCGATTTGCCCTCGGGTGTGATGGCCTACGTGGACGAGGAATAGGGTGGAGAGCGCGACTCAGAATCGACGAACGCTACATATAATTGGGTAGCATCAGACGGGACAAGTCGTGGAAAAACCAGAAAGCAAGGAGAGAGAAAGTAACCAAATGATATCTTACCGTGCGGAGTTCAGACTCGAAGCATGTGTCTGCCGCAGCCCTGTCGGAGTTGTTCCGCGCCTCAGCGAATACGCCGCGGTAGAGTTCGGACGAAAACTCGTTATACCGCCGTGCTCCGTCCTCCCGGTCCCGCTCCGGTCCCATAAGGACGTCTTCCACCGTAAGAGATCCCCGGCTCTTTACCAACCACCAGTCGTCCATTCGACCTACGTCGGGCCCTACCGTCAAGGCCGTCGCAGCGATGAAGGGAAGATGAGGCCCCTCCCCCTGGCCAACTCCGACCCTCGGGGTCAAAATCACAGTTGTCCAGAGGAATGGCGGCGCACTCGGCGTCCCGGCTCAGGAGGTCCTTGTCCTCTACGAACCTCGCGTGGAAATCTTCTCGGTGCTGAATTTGCGACGTCGTCGCCCACAAACCGTGCTCCGCTACAAAGTTGATCACATCGCGACACGTAACCTTAGACTTTGCCCACTGAGCCCCTTTGATGTCGTGCGAACCCATGTGCCGACCACGCAAAATGGCCTTCACCACCACCGTACACATCACTAGAAGCCTACGACGCGTGAATCGCCTGTCGCGGTTAAGGCTGTCGATATGCCTGGCCTGTTCCTCGGTTCGTGGCCCTAACGACACCGTCACTGCTCCTTGACTGACCTCGTCCTTCTTTTCTCCATCACCGTCCGCGCCCTCCAAGTCGCCCAAGGTGGTAGGGTGCCGTCCGTCTCGACCTTCGGTCTGCCATACCCAGGGCTCTCCAGGATGCTCGGTCTCTGATGCAATAATCTCGCGATACAGTGCCATGTTCGTCATACTTTGGTATAACCCAACCAAGGCCGGAGGAAACGCGGTTAGTAGAGTCTCTCTGGGTGGCTTCACTTTCATGTCCAACTCATCGGCGTAGCGATGCTTCTCGCGCGTCCTGGGGGTGTTTGTTCTTCAGGGCAGGATCACTCTCCACGTCGGCTCGAACAATTGTACCAGCTGCCCGCACTACGGACATCCTTGCGTCTGCGTCCTCCGTGTCCTTCTCGACTTCCTCCAGAATCGAGAGACGCGCCGCTAGCTAGTTGGATGGTGGCTGTACGGGTGCATTACGGCGAGCAAGCTACCTAGTCTAAATGGTGTATCTTTATCGAATAAAAGATATGCTCAGAGCTAGCTCATTCGCACCCGGCAGGATCACTTATTGGGTTTGTGAGAGAGTCGGGATCTCCGGGGACGGACCCCTCGCCAGACGCTGCCAGAAGTACTTAATGGTGCTTGGCAAAGTGAGTTGCCAGGATTCGAAACCCTGTGTGCATCCTTCAGCGCATATGCTAAACCATTATACAAGTCAATGCTGATTAATCTAACGGTATCACTTTATCGAATAAAGGATGCCCGCACGAGTTCAAACACCGTCTGGATCACTTTACTTTGCAAAAAAGTGCACCTGGAACTATCAGCGTTTGGCGAGGGATCCGCCCCCGGAGATCCCTTCTTTCAATCCCAGTGATTAATCCATCAACCCAGTCATCCAGGCGGGTGCAAATGAGCTCTGAACATATCTCTTATTCGATAAACTTACACTTTTAGACTAGTCAGCGCTGACTAGTCTAATGGTGTAACTTTATCGAATAGCACTGTCAGGCAACTTCTTGCACACACACCTCAACCTTCCTCCATAACAGGATGGTTCGCGTAATCCTCAAGACACTGCGTGAGTGCCATATGCCCATCGCCGTTGAGGATTCTTCCCCTTCTACCACAGGCACTGGTAGGGGAAAGGGGCTATGCAAGATGGATTTGGTGATCCCCCCAGGACTACACGCAGGAGAGAAGGAAGAGGAACTCTGCACCAAGTCAATTCTTATAGACGTTACAGGCTTCAACCCATCCACAGGTCGAAGCATCGACAAGCCGATGCAAAAGCCAGGATCCGCCCTCGAAGATCGAGCCACAAGTAAGGCAAATCACTACGCGGGAACTTTCAACCCGTCTAGATCTCCCCTCCTTACTGCTGCTTTTTCAACGAATGGTGGTCTTGGCAAAGGCACCAATCGACTCATCGTTGCTATCGCCAACCACTGTGGGTACGAAGCTTTTTGCCGGGGGAATTTTGACGACGAAAGAGCCTTAGTTCGCCTGAAAGCTTTTCATTCTAACAGGATTCGGAGACGGTTTACCTTCGAGCTAGCTCGTTTTCTGTCGATGCGAACTCGCGATGTGTTTAAACGTCATGTGCTACTGATCGACCAACTTCAACCAGGGTCAATCGGTTGGGAGGTCTGCGACAACGATAGTAGTGAGGGTAATTCTTTTGGGAGTGACGGAGACGAAGGAAAGGGAAACGGAAGAAAGGAAGACGAAGACGACGATGGAGGAGGAAAACATGGAGGAGTGGAAGAGAGCAAAGGGTTTGAGCCAGATGACCTTCCCCAAAACAAGAAACGTAGGGCTAGGGAAGAACTGCCCAGAGATTATTGTCAAGATGAGGATCAGAATGATGGTAGCGAAAACAAGGAGGATAATGGTGAAAGTACTCCTTAACGAACTCGAGTACAAGGTAGTAGCCTTGGTAGACGCGTGCATTTTTCGTCTGTTGCTGCTGTTTCTGTTTTTAATCCGAAGGATAGTTTAGCCTCCCCCATGCTGCCCCCTCACGGGGTCCCAGTTCATGGTAGATAGAAGTGTTTTGTGTTTTCAACCGCACTAAGACTGCCGTCCTTTCATGGGTCAGCCGGTTAGCGCGGTCGATGCTAACAATAAAACACACACACACTCACCAGGAGTGCGTGTGCAAGTCTGGTTGGCCGACCACACGATCTACATCGTTCTTGGGAGGAATACTGCATGTAGTCTAGACTAGTCGTTGGCTCTCCACCCCTTTATAGACATGAAAGTAGTGGTCGCGCCGCATGATAATTTGGGGAGTACTTCGATATCTCGTTCATGTACGCATACTTCTCCAGTATGTCCTCTTCCTGTACACCAATCCTGCCTACCACTTGGTACCATGTTAATGATTACGATTGGCTGCTGTACAGGCGAATGATTGATACATGCATATCATACACAGCAGCAGACATACAGCAGCACTGACGTTACATTGCCAGCTGCTGTTTTCTTTCTTCTTGTCGAATGAATGGCCCTAATCTCGCTTCACCTACTCGCTCGACTCAATCTCGGCCAAAGCAGCGATGATTACATCGGTCGCTCGCTGCGCCGCTCCCCGGGTGGTCCTGCTTGCTGCTGCGGCGGTGGTGTACTCCGCGCTCGGCATCAACGTGCCCTGCGATTCCGGTACCAGGGTGTACTCCCTGACCGCATTTCACGGGTCGTGGCTCGACGGGATAGAGATAGTGTGCACTGGTGGTGGCCAGGAGTACATCCCTCCGGACTACAACCTGGAGGTAGGAGACGGTCAAGGTGGGACTCCATCCGATGCCATCTGTGCGGGGACTGCTGGCGTGGAGTCGATCGAGTGGTTTCAACTCTCCGTGTCAGGGGTACTACCCGACTCTACCAAAGACGTGGTCAACGCCACCATTTCTTGCGCGGACGGTTCAGCGCAAACTGTTGCTGATGAGTAAGTGGTGCACCAACCAAGCATGTTATTTAGCTTTCGTCCTGCTTTGATTGTATGCGAAGTACGCACTTGTCTAGCAGGAGCCTGCAACACAAGCCAGTACTGAGGTACGTAGAAGTCGGTATAGTCTAAAGGTACCAGATGTTCGGCTTCTCCTTTTCGGATCTATTCCTTGGAATCCATTACGTCAATTGATGCTCCAGATTTGTGCTGTTTTACCTACGAACTCGTTCACTGTCACGATTGCATAAGTCGTGTTGTAGTGAAAATCGTATACTAACAGTGTGCCCGACGTGCTCGTTGCTGTTCTCGTGGCTTCATGCTCTCAGTAACACTTTTGTTGGTGCCACCGCCCAAGCAACTGCCTCCTGCGACGAAGGAGAATACGTGTATGGCCTTTCGTATGAAATTGACGAAGCTGGCTCTACGAGTTTAGATGATGGTTCCTTCGGCTATGCCGTCACGAGCATTGGTGTTCTGTGTCGCTCTACTACACTAGGTGAGAAAAAACACTGCGCCCTCCATACACGCGATTGCGTTCCGTTGAGCCCATTGAACTGTATCGTAGTCTTCATTACACCATGTCACATACACACCGGTCGCCCCGGTGGTCTAGTGGGTAACCTCGCAGCCTGCTAAGGGCCACGTCAAGGGTTCGAGTCCCGGCAGAGAGAGTTTTTTTCTCACCAAATAAATCCTGGTCTAGGATGAAAGCGACGCGCTGCAAAGCTCGTTTGTTAGTAAACCATAATCGACTTCGTAAGTCGCGAGGGAAGGGATTGCTGTACCCTTCTCGCGATAAAAATACCTCAGGCATGAACCACAGGAGGGGGTCCAACCCCCCCCTCCTATGTGACCCCGGTTGGGTCGTCTAGCTAGTAGAAGTGGAGGATAGGGGCCAGAGGGGCAGACGACAGAGTCCAATGATGGGAGAAAAAAAAAAATACTACATGCGTTATTTAATACAAGGCCGGGTGGCCATCCCACGTGTACACAGAAGTTTGAGTTGAGTTGCGCGACGTTTCAGACGATCTTTTCCCTTTACCCTTAAGTTGTACGCTCCCTTACCGAAACCATGATTGTGGAACACTGCAGACGAAATTTGTACGGCCGACATGTGCAGTGGGGGTGTAGCTCTGAAGGAAGAGCTACCAGACTACTGCGAAGCGGCCACCTGCACGGAGGCCGAGTGCTGCGACACAAGCGGTGAGTGAATACTAATGCGGCGAGTTAGTGAGTTAATACTGCGGTGAGTCAATATTTTCGCGGTGAGTGAATATGTATTTTGCGGTAAGTGGATATTTCTGCGGAACATGCCCCGTCGACCACTTTCCGGCTCTGACTTCAACAGGCTATTCCGAATGTGTGTGTCGTCCCCGTCTACTCTGGACGCCAGGCGTTAGGCCATGCTCTGTTGATGTTCCATTTTGGCATTTGCGTCCGGTGCTCGTGCTCTGAGCTCACGCCTTGCATGTATCCCACCGACCCGTCTGTTTCGCCCTCTAACTCCTCAGATGATGGAGATGATGAAGTAAACGTTGAAATAGTTGCTGGTGTCGTGTCCAGTGTGGCAGCCGCTATGATAGTTGGAGCCGGTGCCTGGGCGTGGCAAAAGTGTCGAGTTCCACGAAGGGAAGGGGGGGTACGGGAAGATGCTCCTGGGGGCACGGGAAGATTCTCCTTACAACTACCCAGCCAGTTGGAACGGAAGCCCCCCCCCCCCCCGTACACTGGTAACCCGGCAGTACGTGTTTGAGGTTTGAATCCGGCACTTGTGATATGAGATAGGTTGAGTGGTCAACCTATGTCTCGCGATGCCACCGGCATTTTGTCCGGAAAACCGGCCTCTACCGACTCCCCTATCGTACCACGAATATTTTGTGGGACTTCCCGTGCTCAAGGATGCCTTGTAACCCCAAGATCACGCAGTGGTGGAGTGGAGGGCGGGATGCCCTCAAGGGTGTTTACGAAATTGAACCTCTCCGCCGACTGTATTCTTCGTTTTCACTACTGTATCTAGGACCAGAGCGGAACATATTTTTTTTCCATTGATTTTTCATTTCAAGTACATCCTAGAGCGGAGCGAATTTTCTGAGGGCCAAATTGTCAAGGAGGGGTTTGAGTGTATATCATGGAGCGGGTTGTCCGTATTACGTTTTTTAACGCGAAGTCGTATAGTTTACTCACTAGCACTAACCGCGCGAAACAATACTGTGGCATTCACGAATGTGCACCGCCAGAAATACGATATTGCTAAAGACGTTTTCTAGCTCCAGAGCTCTGGCGGTCGTCCACACGCAGTGTACTTTGTTCGAGATCCCTTCCTTTTTGTGAAAGGGCGTGTTGATGTTAGTTTTGGTGTTGGTCGTATCATGTTGTTCATTGAGGCATTGTGATCGTCCGTCGTCCGTTGGCGATCGAATTGATTCACTCGCTACATGTGGTCGTATCATGTTGTTTATTGAGGCATTGTGATCGTCCATCGTCCGTTGGCGATCGAATTGATTCACTCGCCACATGTACACTATATTTATTGTCTGAACTTCAAATCAGCGCTCACTCCACTATTTAGTGCCGTTTACTCCAACCCTTGGTCACACAGAAGGGCCCCTCTCTACCTTTCCCTCCTGCGGTACATTGCCTTCGGTTTTGAATGCGGGAAGAGTTCGGCACTCTCTTCCCCCTGTGTACACGAACTACCGCTATCCGCTAGGCCATGAACGGAAGCGAGAGAAAAACTCACTTTTCAAGAAAAGCTCGCTTACGCCGGGATTCGATACCCTGACCTGGCTTGTAGAAGGTTCCGGGGATACCAACTAGACCACCGGGTGACGGGCCACAAGGGCAACTGTCGCCCAATGTGGCGTTCAGCTAGAATGTGACTGATGTGGAAACGGGGGATTAGGGTTGAGGTGGAGATCAGACGGGTACTTCAAGCTTTGGTATGGATCATTTCTTTCCCATAGCGATGATGTATGTTGCTGAAAAAATGACGCTACGAAGAAGTGGATATTTCGAAGGATTTTGCTTTTGTGAAATGAAGGACATTCGTTCGCAACACCGTGCAAACTTTCCACCGGAACGGTCTCCGTGGAATTCACTCCAAATCGAATGAAACGTGCCAGAAACGGCTGAGGAAACGTTTGATTGTTGGTGTTGTTGGCGATGAAATATCGAAAGTACCGTCGTGTTCACGACAGCCTTTTCGCCTGAACATATTCTCACCGAGAGTGAAAACCCTCCCACCCTTCGCGTAGTATGTCCAAGTACGAAGGAAGAACAAAGGTGTGGGGTTGTTCGCATAGAGCTGGTGGGTGGGGAAATTCTCACGGATACAGGTGCAACATCGCAACTATGAAGTGGTATGCACCCTTGTGAATGGTCCAACCAAAACAAAGTTCGCGTAGTTATCCACCCTCCTCTTGTGTCCGATACAATGACACCTTCCACAGCTAGCTCTACCCCCCCCGCCTCCCCTCCCTCGGCTGAACAATGATTGTTGCTTGAACTTGGTGGAGGGTTCCGATCATTCCAGGTCAGAAACGTTCGTCATCTCGGTCGACCGGGTCAATTATAGGCCTATTCAGTCAGGCGATCGATCATGCACATGCTCCGAAGTACAGCAGTAGATATGTAAATGAGAATCAATGACCCCATTGCAGTTACAGTAACGGTCGGCCCGGCAGCGGCATTCCTACAGGGATAGACGTCTTGCAGAGTCGCAACCACAACTTCAGCCCCTATGCGTACAGCACGGGCCCGCAATTCAGAAAAATCACGTTAAGTGGTCTAAGGCTCAACTTATTACGAAGAATAAGACAAAAGGACTAAGAAACACAGCTCAATCTCGGCCACAACATAAGAAACGTCCCAATAAGAAACATGATCGTGCGATACCCCCAATAGAATACATAAGAGCAAGGGCTGCCGGGGGAGCGTACCCAACAAGAAACGCTCTACTACGCTCCTTCCGTGCTCCCACCCTCACCTTACCTGGCTGATCAAGTTATTTTTTTCGTAGGGGGGGAGGGTGATTATTGGCGCTGCCCCCCCCGCCTCCGCGCTATTGGCTACTCGGCGCCTTCCGCGGGCTGCTTTACCCACTGCTGCATGAATACTTGTTGTGTTTTGGTGTGTTGTATTATAGCCAGATATCAAACAAAACAAGAAATAAGGGAATCAGGAGGATGCGACAGTCCAAAGGAATAAGAAATGCCTTTAAGAAAATGAACCACTTCGGCTGGTCCTTCGATCCAAAATATGGGATTGACCCTCGACCCGATTTTTTTGACGTTTCTTATCTCCGGGCCCGTACTGTACACAACTAACTTTAGCGCTCCTTCTACACAACAAACGTGTACAAGCTTGAACGAACTTGTGCAAGTTGGATAGTGGATCTTTCCTCGTTCACTTGGAGACAGTGTCGATTTGTTTTTTTCGAACACGGCAGGCGCTCTCGTTCGCTACACAGCACGGTACACCCGCATGAAGCCCGTTTGACCACTTACTGCTGCTGTTGAGAACAGTATTGGTCGGTACTACATGTTTGCGTGCACGCCCGTCCACCCCCCCCTTTCATCCTCTTTCGTCATACTTTTTGTAATTCATGTCGCATAACCTACCCATCCCTCCGGGCCCAACGTGGGGAAGGAGGTCTCCTCATTGTGTTCTACAAGCTGCCTGTTGGAGTGTGTTGTCCTAGCTTCGTATTTTGCCCCGCGGGATATGCGTGCAAGATTTTGGAAGCTTGATTTTCGAGGCGCGAAGAGCCTAGACTACATGTACAGCAGTACCGTCAAAGTCAATTCATGTCCGTCATCAAACCGTGTGTGTGTGTGTGTCCAGCTTCCGCGCGGGAGTTGCTGAGTTCGCATGGGTCTTGAGGGGAGCTCGCACAGCGGTTTCACGGTATCCACCAGCTATCCACCCTGACGAGCGACAGTACCAGGGCACTGCAACTGACTGGCATGACTCAACATTCCAGTGGCACCCGAGAAATGAGAGAAGGCGTCTCGCCCACGACATCTCGCTACAATCGCCACTCCAAACTCCCTGCTCTCCACTCGTCCCCCTCTGCCCCTCCCCCACAGCCCAGGCGAGAGCGAACTCACCAGAGCACCTCACCATCTCTGGGGCAGCCGCCGAGAAAAAGGACCACCCGCTGTCGCATCTATTCACTGGTGGGGCCTTCGTGACAAGCGCATGACCAGCCCCCAACAACAAGCCGGTCTCTCTCACACACGCTCACGCTAGCGTGGTACAGCAGTAGTCTCCGGCGGATCGAGGACGAGCAGTAGAGATCGTCCTACAGCTTTTATTTCCTCTACCCATTCTTGGTGAGTCTCAGTCTTGTGCAAGCGTTCGGAAGTTTCGGGTTGCATTAGAGTAAGGAGGGTTCTTAGGAGGGTTCTTAACGATTCTTCGGTTTGTTGGAATATGCCGACTGGCTTTCGGAGAAATCCGAACGGACCGCCTGACGTTTCTTAA